CCCCAAAACCCCAAAACCCCAAAACCCCACGAATAAAGTGCGAAATTGAATTTCATAAAAGTTAATCCTAGTTCAAAAATTCAACCAGAAGGGTTATTCTAGCCCTCAAATAAGGCATGGTTTCAGAGGGTTTGTATTCTAAAGCTACTACTATGCTAATTATCATTTAATACAACATCGAATTTACTCCATAAACCATTCCTACCCTAAGCTTCTGCCAGCACCACCCAAAACACATATTTTTCATGTTTAGAATTTGTAATTTTTGATAATCTTTGGATGAAGCGAGGAACTTCAGTAGACACAATTGTAATATAATTAAGATCTATTTATTTTCTGACTGAAAATTTTCAAAATTATCATCACAAGGATTTCTTCAAGTTTAATGAAATTTCTTGCCAAGAACCCATAATAATCAGCAAAATAGAGGACCAAGTATAAAATTTTCATAATAAAAATTCAATGCAGTTTGTCTTACACAAAGTGCATTTTAAAAAGCAGAAAGCATGCCTCATTTTATCTTTCTGGTCACTACCTAGCCATCTCACCACCGTAATCCAAGAGATCCTCACTTCCAATCTAAAAATCGCTTGTCCTTGATATAAGACCAAGAAGACACACTGTTAACGTTGCAGGCAACACTTAGGAAAAGCAGAGACCGATGTAAGTCAGATCTAACAAGTTTGACTAAATCCATGAGTAACAGGAAGATTTTGGACGAAGTCAAAGTGTCGCATGTAAAAACAATTTTGCCAAAACTTCCTTCATAAGACAGCTGCTGTTATTTAGAGGCTGTCATAAAATCTGCACATCCAGGGCTATCGATAGGCCAAACCTGAGCCCGGTTGGCGATGAGGATTTCCCAAGAAAATTATTAAAAAAATTAGCATATTGAAGAAGAAAGAAGCATGTTTGAGGAGTTTAGGATGACCAAGGAAGTTTAAGAGCCTCACAAAAATGTTTGCGATGGGGTAAGAGGAAATTAGGGATTTTTAATAATATTTCAATCTTTTCAATATTGGGGACAAATATAGGGGTTTTGGGGTTTTGGGGTTTTGGGG